GGCCTGCAGAGGCAGCTGCCTCCATACTGAGGGGCCTCGCGGCTCTCCATGGATCCTCCCAGCAGGTCCTCCGATGACAGAAGGACGCGTCCGGGTTCTCAAGGTCGGCGGTCCAGGCAGTGTGATCCCAGAGGCAGGCACACCCCGGAGTAGAATCCGGGCACTGGTGAGCAGAGTCCCCCACTGGGTAGTGAATGCTGGACCCCCGGCCCCTTCGGCGACACAGACATCGCAAGGCGTACAGATGACTCTTTAAATGTTTACTGTCTCCCCTGAGAGCCCTTTCGCTACCGTGAGCCAACCCCCACTGACCCCGGGACCTGGTCGGCCCAGAAAGACCTGACAACAAACACGGCTTTGCAAAGGGAATTGAAAAGAGGTGTCGGGAACCTTCCGCTGACGGAGGGCTTCTGTCCACTCACGTCTCTTCTTCATCCCATACTCGCCCCGCCCTCCAGTCTCCGTGGAGGCTCCCGCACCCCACCGGGGCACCTCCGCACCCCTGCCCCAGAATCGATGGGCGCCGCCGTCCCGGCCCGCAGCGCCCCTTGGCTTCCCACTGATCTTCCAGTGCTAATCAGACCCAGCCCGGGAGGCAGCTACGGCTTGCTTCTTGTTCTGGTGCGAAATGTGCGAAGCACAGACCATATCATTAACATAAAACTTCCAGAAATAAGGCCACTTTCCAGACAGACCGTATTAATTGCACCAAGCTTCCACAGCTAGGGTGGTCCAGTCCATGGTATCCCATTGGATGGCTCCGGTTATAAAAACCAACACAAAATGAACCCTGGGATATAATTGAAGGAGGAGAAAACGATAGATTCTACTGTTAAACCCAACTATTTACTTACAGGTATTCTTTTATCTTTATTGTCCCTTTAACCCATGCCAAGAAACCCCAGACAAGTTAAATAACACAGCAAGCACAATTTCAGTAGAAAAGTAAATTGAATTTAACTTTACAGGATTGCCCTGTGATTTCGACGTACGCTAATGACTGCAACTGACTCTTCCTATTAAACCCAGACACTTCCACTTCCCCGAGCCGGGGTCCCGTGCGTTCTTGCCTGAGACCTTGAACCTCACCAAGCGTATGTACTCATCGCTGTGGCCGATGACCATTTGCGACTTTTAAATACGCAGTGACGTTTCTCAGTTCCTTTTCCACCTCCCAATGCTGGTACGTGAGCTGAGCCAGCCGAGAAGCTAAATGCCTTTCCGAAAGGAAACCAGGGATCCAGCTTGCAGTGAGATTCCACACGGCGCCAGCCATGGAAAGGTGTGACATCGCGAGCACACGATGCTGTCTGCTCGCTCAGCACAGGGCACCGTTCTCAGCCCCTGGCATGTGCGACCTCGCTCGATCCTCCAAACACTCCTTCGAAGCATGTACTATCACCGCCCCATGTTACAGGTGGGGAAACTTGAGGAAGAGAGGATGATGTGGCTTATCCAAGGTCACACAGCCGCACGGGACAGGACAGAGCAGCCTACACCCCCCTCAGTCTGATGCACCCTGACGTCTGTCTGCCTCTCGATCGTAGAAGCCGCAGAGTGCGGGGAGGGTTCAGGCCAAAGACCAGTGGTTTTCAAAATTCTCTCTGAGCACGCCGGGCCTGCCCTGAGGACCCTGGCCAAGCCCAAGGCCCCATCCTCGGCGGCTCAGGAATCAAAATAGATCTGTTTCGGAGATCAACATAAGGAACGTCATTTTTAAATGTAGTGTGTGTGTATATGTATATACACACACACACATATATATATGTACATATATATATGTGTGTGTGTGTATATACATATATATACACACATACATATATATATATGTATACACACACACACACATATATATATGTATATCATAGATGTATGTATGGACGTGTATGTATATTTTTTACAGAAGAGGAGACCGAGGCCCAGAGAGGAGGCGTGACTCATTCAAGGTCACCTGCCAGGCGGAGTAAGGGCCAGGACCACAGCCCGAGCCTCTTGACTCCACAGGTACCCCGGAGAAGTTCCTACATGGAATTCCTCAGGAAACTTCACTTTCGAGAAATGCCTCAACTCAAAGCTTCCCATTATTTCGGCAGAACCACAAAGCAACGGATGAGCAGGGGTCAAAGAAATCCCTTCGTTTTGTGCATTCGAGAAGTCCCTGCTCCCCGCCGTGACCGTCAGGAGGGGGTCCGGGGCCGGCGTCCTGGGGGGCGCAGCTGCCGGGGTGCTGCCAGCCCTCGAGGCACACAGCACACGTACCTGCGTGGTTTTCTCCCCCACGAAATCACATCCTTCTATAAATAGCTGCGGATGCGTTCCCGGGCATGCAATTAACCTGCGTGAAACACGGTTACACCGGGGGTTTCTGTATTAACTTGAAGAGATGAGTTCAGTGCATCCTGATCCAAAACGGGACGACACAAAGTGAGGACGGCGCCCTGTACGGTGGGCCGCCTCCTCCTGACGGGCTGCTGGGGACTTAATGACTCCGTGCCAACCACTAATTAAACAGGCACTAAAAACGCTTAAGCAAACAGCCCAGCGCCAGGGACAGAAGCCACAAAGGGACAAAAAGCACTGGAAGAGGATATTCTCAGGTCTTGAAATTGATGGGGAAATATGGCGACACAACCTGGCACGGGCTAGTTAATGGGGACCCAACCAGGAAGGGGGACCGTGCTGGGAATCGCGGGGGCGGGGGACATCGGAGGATGAGGGCAGGCCCCGAGAGGGCCAGCAGGAGCGGTCCCAGGGACCCCGGCACAGACATCACACTGCCACCAAGTATGGCAGCCGCTCCCGGGCTCTGGGACCTCACAGCAGCGCGTTCTAAAATCTGAAAAGGCCTCTGAGCCAGAGACGAAACAGGGCTGCAGGAGCGGCCCAGGACCAAGCCCCACCTGGGCACCGCCATCCCTGGGAAGTGTCCTCCTACAGGTCTACAGGGCCCCCTTCCGGCTCCACCCCGCCCCCACCAGACTGCACGCGGCGGGAGGGCCCGGGGTCTCCAAGCCTCACTCCACCCCGTCTGCAGCGTCAACCAAACCAGGCGCTCAAGAAATGGCTCTTAGCGACAGAATGGACAAACGGAGGAGTGAATGAATGAATGTGAGCTGCGAGGCCTCGACAGTGCTGAGCCGCATCCTCTCATCTGTAAGTGGGGAGAGGGAACCGATCGCCTAAGGTTGCCGTGAAGGTTAAATTCAAGAACACGCACAAGACGCCCAGCACAAAGCGGCACACGGTCCCTATCGGGGAGCAGGTGGCTCTGTGGCCAAGAGTGGGTGTAGGAGAAGCATCTCCCAAACGTAGGCAGAGGCACGAGGCT